TTGCCCAGCATGCATTGTTTCGGTCTTGGTGTTCGCTCGTGTCGTTGTCTTGCAGGATGATGGCGCCCGCCGGCAGGACGGACTCGACCGAAACGCTGGACGTGTTGCGCTGGTGCGCGTGCGTGTTCATCCAGTACGGCGGGCTCGCGACGGAGCTGTTGGACAGTGTCGACGACATCATGTCCTCCGTGTCCTGCGGCACATGGTCGTCGTCGTCGAGCGTTTGGGCCTTGTGGCTTGACGGCGCCGTCGCAGCGTCCGAATCCACGGTCGGGAATCCGAGTGCCGGGGTTTCGTCGTCAGGATGGCTTCCGCTGACCGGCTGGTCCTGGTCTACCGCCGACGCCATTCGGCCGTGTGCGAGCCGTGGCTCATGTGTGTTTCGGCAGCTGTCCCTTCTTGTCCGTGTCGTAAAACGGGGTCCCACGATGTCCGGCGTGTGGGCTCGCGCAACCGAGGGGCTTGGCTGTCGAGCCCCAAATTGAAGCTGACTGATGGCGTCGTTACGAAAGCCTCGTTCAGGTCGCAGAACTGTGGAGACTTTGCGGGACACGAGTACCGATGAGAGTCGGTGGCTTGTCAATTGGCAACGTCTTGGGCGCTGGAGAGGGCGGAATTCATGCAAGCGGGCATGATGGTTCTGGATCAAATGCTTCGCAATCAGAGTGCGACATCAAAGGGTAACAAGCTTCCAAGTCCAACCAGACTCTATCTGGATGTGGGGCCGAGCTGCGGCCGCCTCGAATGGCCTGGAGGGATCGTCTCTGAACCATCCCGCCAAGCTGTTACCAAGCAAAACCAAGTGTGGTGCTTTAATTTGCTGTTGATGGAATCTTGGAAGAAAAGGTGAGATATTTCGTTGTGGATACTATTGATTGCACACTTATCATTTTGTATTCCAGGCCCCAAAGTCATTCTCCGGTGCCTTTGGCTGACATGTTCTAGATTTCGGGACAAGGAGCGCCACATGGCCACTTCAGGAACGCGAAGGTTGTCATAGCAATGCAATCCAAGCATCGCCTGATGTGTCCACATCCATGATTCCTGCGCTGATGCTGTTAACCCAGTGAGCGGTGAATGATGGCAAGTCCTCGTCATATGCAGCCGTACATGTGATTATGCAACCAGACACCACAAGCCACAGGCCACAGACCACAGGTTGACCAGAGGCAGTCGTATTACGCCCAATTCTGATGCCCGTCGATTGACGTCCAAGGATCCACCCTAGAGCCTCAGAGCATAGCATCTAAAAAAAAAAGCATTCCCCGTAAAGTACGGAGTGCAGCCAATAACCTCTGGATGGAGAGCTGCAAGCGTGGTAGGCAAGGTAGGATAATGTCGTCACTGTCGAATCCATGGCCATGGCACCCTCGACCACTCAACCTTTTTTGCTTGGCAACTTCTGCATGGGTGGAGGACACAAACCTTCGTATCGCCTTCGTGTTTGGGTGCACCACCATGCGGAGGAGGATCAAGATGGCACTAGCTTTGATCGAGAGCAAAATCCTTCCAACTCAATACATACATGCCCTCTTTTGTAGCTGGCTCTGCAACAGAGTCATGCTGCCAAAGACAATAGGAGGGCGTGATTATCACGTCATGGCACCAATCTGACGCCCGAGACAAATTCAGCATCTGACAATTACTCCGTACCTGTACTAGTTTATAGATGATAGCTTCGTGCCGCCACCCCCTCATGGCTTTTGGCCACCGACTGCAACCAGGGGCTTGTAACCATCGAGACCTTGGCGGAGCAGACAAAAGTGAAGATACACACCCCACAATACAGCCACGTCACTCAGCAGTACATATAGTAGTACATAGAACTCAAGCTTTCTTTATGCAAACGGCTGTCCTCGGCTGTTGAGTTCCGAATTGGTATCACGCTGTAGGATTGCCCGTCTTTGCATGCGTGGTGATTAAGCTGTTGAGCTGTTGAGATGTTGCGAATTTGCCTCCGCCGGGTTCGTCCGGGCGCCTTGGCTGGAACAGTCACCAGTGCCTCTCGTATTCCTCACTCGTGACTCGTGACTCGACCAGTTTTCATCAAGCCAACGAACCGTACGATGAATGATGCGGAAGACTATGCCCGGTGGTCGCTCCCTCGGCATTTGCCTATCTGGCCAACACTATATTGACGCTACTAATGCACATGTGCAGGGAATACGATGTGCAGCTCGACAAAGCCCCAGATCCAAGCTGTCAACGAATTGTGTAAAGCCCGGAGCCAACCTACAACTGGTCTGGTGTGACTGGGGCCGTTGGGGGGGAAAGCTCGTACTGGCAACCGTTTGGCCTCCACAAAGAAACGCCGCTATCCCAAGAAGAGGAGCTCCAGATGTCCACGACGGGTCTCTAAATTCCAGACACAACCACAACTACCTCGCAGCCGGATCCGAGGATGCTGAAACGAACCGACGTAACCATACTCCGTAGGTAGACGAGGGGGGAGATGCAAAATTTCTCAATGAGTAAGGACTGTCTGTGACCAAAGCCTCGAGCAATGAAACAATGATTGCCTGTATGTATGTACGGGGTAGCAGCTTCGTCGTCGTCGTCGACGTCGCAGTCCAAGTCAGACATCAATTGATGGACCTTGATCCGCACAGGACCTGTGGATTGCGTTGTCATGGACAAACACAAGGCGAAGGTGGGCGGCTTATCCACCTGAGACCCTTAGCTATTTGGCTCGTCACCCCAGACACTGACACAGAGTGACACCTTGGCTTTTGTGCTTCTAAAGTTGGGCTGTGGATGTTGTCGAGGCACCTTTGTCTGTTGGAATGCATGTTTCGGACCAAACTGTTTCTGCCTGTTGACAGGTCGATGCTGTCGCGGAGCTGATGGCCTCAATGGATCGGATTAAAAGAGGGTAGCTTCAGGTTCCCAAAAGCTCCCCTGGCTTCTCAAATTCTCAAAGCTTCAAATAAAGTTCGAATATTTCAGGTCTTGCCCGTCCCCAGCCATCCCCCGATTATCCTTGCCATCCCTGTCCACCCCCTGGTCAATCGGGCTGGTCCGTGGCACGTCCTCAGTGCTCCTCACCACGGGCTCGACCAGTTGACCCCATTGACCATAATTACCCCGTTGCCTCTGCTCGCCTTCAAATTGTCAATTCCTCCTTTCCATGTTGCCTTCGTTTGCTTGACCGTCGCTGTGCCCTTTTACTTCTTGAAATCACGTCGTTGGTTTCTTTTTTAGCCCTTCGCTTCATTGTCCTTCGCTGTTGGCATTTTGCATTTCAGTCGTCTCTGCAGAGTACTCCGTACCAAGTACATAATTTATCTGTAAGGAAGGAGCTCCCGTTCTCAACCCGCTTGATACCTTCAATGTTGGCCTCTCTAGCACCGCGTGCTGCCATGGCCTCATATTCTGGTGCGGTTGATGGCTTCAATAACCCTCAGCCAAATACGACAATTTTTTTGCTTCATAATATACACTGCCGTCTACATTGTCCATCAGATGCTTACCCAATACTTAGCCAGGTCTCCGTGTTCTGCCCATCGATCTATTCATCCATATACGAACTCAGACGAAACAATGCCTTCGTTCCGAACCATCTTCTTGGCCGTGGCCGCCTCATTCTCGGCTGTTGCCAATGCCGATTACACCATCGACCCCGACAGCGTACCCATCGCCACCAGAAGTGAGCAGGAGCCAATATTTCTGATGCTGGGTTGTTGATGAGGCTAACACTCACAATAGAGTCTTGGTGTGATCAGGAGATGACTACATGCCCCCTCATCTGCCAACAGGTGGAACCTAGGACCACCATTGACAATACTTGTGATCCTGTGAGTTAACCCATCCATGCCTTCGATTCAGTCCCGGACTTGGAATTTGACATTCTGACTTTTCTGTACAGGAGTCTCTCACGTATGGCTGCCTATGTGGCAACAACCTACAGCCAAACGTTTCCCAGTACTCGCTAAGCTTGCCCTATTTCGTTTGCACACAGTGGGTAATCCAATGCAAAGATGCCTGCCCTACAGACGCTTGCAAGTCAGACTGCCAGCAAAAGCACCCATGTGGTGCCCAGGACCCTGTCAGGCCCAACGCGACCAAGACTGCTGGTGCTTCAGCCACCTCGACGGGAGGCTCGAACACGATCTACACAAACGCACCCGGGGGCGGTAGCGACAATGGAAAGAAAGGCGCCGGTGCAGCGCTCGAGGTTGGACGTACATATGGACTGGCTATCGTCTTGACCAGTCTCTTTGCTGGTTTTGCCCTTTTGTAAGGAACAAGAATGACCATATTCACGGGATGGAAGATGGGAGAGATGGAGTGCTCTCTTGTGTCTGGAATTGCATACGACCTGTCTGGGGAAGATTCTGGACAGTCTAGGAGCTTAGGTGTTAATTCTTTTGCGTTTATTATGCCGGACAGCAAGTGCCTGGTCGATTTACATTTTACATGCCTTGGATATGGAGGATATTAATATAATACTAGCCTATATAGTGTTCTGGATTTGGTTGAGAATGTCATTTTCGGTTTGTGTGGAATACATGGCGTCGAGCAGCTCTAGTCTAGTGCTGCACCACTAATATTACAATGTACTAATTGTACTCCAGGTGCTGCTTAGAGATTCGATGCCAGTCAGTCAGTTAAGATTTTGTGGTTCTAGGGCTTGGACCACCCAGGAACTCGAGCATGATGATTTTACACTCTACCAGACGCTATCCTGCCGGACTTGTTCGACTCAATCTGTAGCCAGCTACCGTTGCGGGGCGGTCGCCTCCCGAGCAATTCGCGACTCTCTGGCCGTCACGTACCTATTTAAGTAGGAAGTTAATACCCCAGCCTTGCCTTCCGAATGTCGCATGGACGGTCCAAATCCTGAACAGCTAGCAGGCACTTTAGTTTTGATACCCCACCGGCCTCCTGCAGTGCCTGGGCCTCCCAAGGCATTCCCAAGGCAGTTTATATTCTCTATTCCGCCTACTTTCACCATTATCCAAACTTCTCAGAATTCCAGCGGGAGTCAAAGCGATGCCAAGATGCATTCTCAAATCTTGTTCGAGACCTTTACTGGTAAAGACATCACGGATGCTGTGCTGGAGGAAGCATCTACACTCTTTAGCGAAAACTACGGAATCTGGGGGAAGGGTTCAAGCCGAGAAGGTTAGCAGAAAGCCCTTATCCTGTTCACCACTAACATTTTCTCTAGGGAAACGAGTGAGACTTAGCGGACAGCGGCTAAGGGAGAAATTGCTGCCGGAATCCGCTCAGACTTCAATTACCAGGGTTACTGTCAATGGAAACCTGGCGGGACACGCGTTCGTTTGCCGTTGGGCGTGTGCTGGCAAGAAGATCTGCTGGATCACTCAGTTAGTGATTGGAAAACACTACCGTGAGCAAGGACTTGCAACTTGTCTCCTTACAAGTCTTCGGAAAGATGAGGATGATGTGTTTGGCATCATGAGTTCTCACCCAGCTGCATGTTTAACAGCAGCGAAAGCATTTGGAAGTACGTATACCCACGCAACAGGGCTATTGCAGTGCTAACGGGAGGCAGGGGGGATCGAGAAGGTATCACTGGACTTTATAAGCGAAAATGCCGCCGAAGTCGTCAAGTCATCGCCAATCCCATATATACGAGATGCGGAGCTCTGCGGTAGTCTCTTCAACTCTGCCGTTGATATGGTTTCTGGAGCAAACACACATTTCTTTGTCGATCATAAGGAGCCTTTAGATACCCTGCGTTCGGTTCGAGAGGAGCGGCAATGGCCATTGGGCGAGCTGCAAGATGGTTGCGAGTATCTCCTGATTCTACCTTCGAGACCTCGCAGATCTAGATATTGATCATTATCAGGGTCCCAGGAGGCACGGTGGGAGGACCCGATGAGGTATCTGACTATTGCGCTCTGTAGTGTAATATACTGCAATTTATTAGTGTGTACTTTCTCATATTGTGCCGCAGACTGTAGCGGGTTCCTGGGCGGTTGGAGGCGGAAAAAGTGGGTTTGGCACATTGGATGCAGGCGTATCTCTCTGAATGTGCGCAGGTCCAATTGACACTTCTTTTATGATACTTAAAGGTACTTAAAGATACTTTATTATTAAGTATAATAAACTAGTATATTTTTATATACTTATGTATCTTTAAAATCTTAGTTACTTACCATTGGCTAGAACCCTGGCCCGTTACAAAACTTGGACCTGCGCACATTCAGAGGGATCAGTAGAACCCGGAAGACACTTTGGTAGTACTTGTGTCCAGTTGTAGAACACTGCGAGCCCATAACAGCCGTGCCAGGGCCAGAGTCAGCAACTGCATGTGAATGGCGAATACCATCACGCAGAGCTATCGGGAGGGGACAATTGCTTGCTCGAAGGGCAGCTTGGGAGAGGCCAGGAGGATACAGGCTGAGGCGGCAAAGCCACGAGTTTGCATCTGGCTTCCCCACGAGACTCCACAGGCAGGGTCTTGAGAGTTCCCGAGGTTCAAAGCTGGCCGTCTGCGGCCGTCTGCAGGCATATGCGGCTACAGGGCCCAAAACAACCAAGTCATGATGAAGTGCTCAACGCCACTTGCGTGTCGGCCGCAATGGTGCATCTCAACGAAAATAAGGATCCAATCAGGGGCGGCGCAAGTGTATTAGTCCCAGCCAGCTTTTTTGCAGACGAGCACGCGCAAGCGGCACACGATCAGAAGCGGCATGGAGCGGGAAGAGTGCAGAGGCATTTAAGAGATGGACGAGTGTTTGTGTTTTTTTCTTTTTTTTTCTTTTTGTGCTATTCTATGTTATTATGACGTCGGTGGTTTGAAGTAAATGATTTGAACATTGAATGTTTGAGATTCAACCACAACAAAAGAAGCCCGTGGCTCAACGGCTTGTTGACGACGCACACCCAAAAAAAGGGGACCTCAACTTGGACTGGCTGAACCCCTGTTCTCCCGTTGCCCTGGCCCGTCTCCCTTCACTTCGTCTGCCAGTCTGCTTTGTCTTCTGATCCCCGCCTCCTTGTCGATTGGTGTACCGTCGACCCGTTGGCGTCGTGCTTAAAGACGTGCATCACAGCCTGCATGCAAGGACCAGTCACGCTTGTTTCTCGAGCACGCAGGCACCGCAGGCCTGCATCTCACCGGTACAGACGCGCCAAAGGGCACGGGCTAGTTCGACAAGGAAGAGGCAAGAAATAGGTACATATACTTGTTCCGTCCACCCGCCCCTCCACCGCCTCTCCCGCCGTGCTGCTTCTTCTGAATTCTGCCGCCATGGTCGGCGACAACTCCAGCAACGACACGCTGCCACGGTACGAACAAGACAGCCTCCTACCGCGGGCCGACAACATGGCTCCCAATACCAGTGCGTTGCCCTCGATTGACTTGACCCCATTTGTCCTTTTCTTGCTCTTTGTGATGCTGCCCGCAAGGTGCAGGAGAAGCCTAACGAAGCTCTGCCCGCTGACGCTGTCCTGCCCTGCCTCCTAGAAAAAGCTGCTGCCGAGTGCATCTCTGATGATGCGCTGATACACCTCAAGTCGTACAAGTATTCGAGCGTCGACAAGTCCCCCGTGTCGAAATATATCCTCGGTCCCTGGGTACGTTGGGAATCCGGCTCTTCTCTGCTTTTATTTTTTTGGTCAGGGGCATTGACGCCGTCGCCGTCGAAGCTGTGCCACATTACGTGGGGTAGCTGCGGCAAAGCTCTCCGACAATGACACACCAAGCTAACTGTCAGCACTGCTAGTGGAATGCTTTTGTAAACATTCTGCCGTTATGGATTGCCCCGAATATGGTTACTCTGTTGGGATTCTTCTTCATCCTGGGTAACATTGGCCTACTGGTCATTTTTATGCCCGACTTGGTTGGACCTGTATGCCCCCCTTGCCACGTCCCGTCGCATGTCCATCAAGACGGCGCATGCTAACCTCGAATTGCTTTGTGTTAGGGACCGACATGGCTATATTTCAGCTTTGCGTTTGGCCTGTTTATGTACCAGACTATGGACAATGTTGATGGCAAGCAGGCGCGAAGGACCGGCACATCGAGCGGCCTCGGCGAGCTATTCGACCACGGTATCGACTCTCTCAATTGTACCCTCGCTAGTTTACTCGAAACGGCTGCCATGGGTCTGGGAACATCGAATGCTGGCATCTTTACGGCCCTCTGCCCTTGCCTGGCCATGTTCTTTTCCACCTGGGAGACATACCACACCCACACGTTGTATCTGGGCGTCATCAACGGCCCTACCGAGGGCTTGCTTATTGCTTGTGGCATCATGGTTGCCTCTGGGATTTGGGGCCCTCATATCTGGACTCTGCCTCTTGCCAATGCTCTGGGCGATAGCTTGCCTGGGCTGGCACAAATGCTTGGCCAAACGTCGTTCCGAGATATCTGGGTTGGCTTGATCATCTCGTCCTTGCTGGTCGGCCACATCCCCTTCTGCCTGTACAATGTCGCGTTGGCCCGCCAGAAGCAGGGCCTTCCCGTGACACCCGTCTTTGCTGAATGGACACCAATGGCCGTCTTTACGCTTGGAGTTGGCGCCTGGGTGTTCTCGCCGTACAGCACGCTGATGACGGACAACCACCTGGTCTTGTTCTGCCTGACCATGTCGTTTGTCTTTGGCCGCCTGACAACCAAGATGATCCTGGCGCACCTGACTCGCCAGCCGTTCCCGTACTGGACGGTGATGCTCGCACCGCTTGTCGGCGGTGCGTTCCTCGGGAACCTGCCTCGGTTTGGACTGCCCCAGATCAGTGCGACCGCAGAGCTTTACTACCTGTGGGCGTACTTTTTCTTCTCCTTGGTGGTTTACTTTCGCTGGGCATATCTTGTCATCAACGCCATTTGCGACTATCTCGGCATCAATGCCCTGACGATACCCAAGGAGAAGCAAATCGCCAACAAACAGGCCCGAGACGCCACGAAGTTACATTAAATGCCGAATGCCCTCTACAGCATCGAAAAATAAACGAATTGGAATACACCAACAATGTTGGACGACGCGACGACCCAGTTTTTTTTTGCCAACCAGCGTTAGAACAGCGTGATCCGACGTGGCAACGGGCCTATTCTACATGCGTGTATGGAACTGATAGGGGTTACACTTGTAGATTCCGTGGGGAAAATGGGCACTGTAGACGCTAAACATTGTCTAGAAAGGGGCAACGACTATGGCGCATTCTTTGAGTATTATTATTTTTTTAATGGGTGGTCGTATCGGGGGGCAAGGAGGCTTGGCTCGGATGGGCGTTGGGGACCTCCTGGATTTTTTTTCTTTCTTGATTTGAGGGCTATAGTTTTGTGTAGTCTACATTCATGGCGCTAGATGTGAGGAGCGGCACTCCGTGCAGTAGAGGATATGTTTAGCATCAGCGCGGTGCTCGTGTGCAGGTCAAGAAGGTGCACGTGCTCTATCCGAGATGGAAAGCTAGCGTTGTCGACGACTTTGTGTCCATGACTCCAAGTCACCACCTGCATTGTATCGAGATGATCGTGGAGACTGGAGAGATACCTCGACCTTTTGCACCGCCCGTTGTTAGACTGCTGCCGCCGTTGTCAAAAGCAGATTCTGCCTGCTCGTCTTGTACCGTCCGGTGAGTAATTATTGTAATTGATGTCAAGTTATAGGGTACGTCGTTGCGCCAGCGTGGCGACGTCCCGTGCTGCAATCGCGTTCAGCAATTCCCGATTTACTCCACCTTCTCCTTCTCCACGTTTATCGGCTTCCCGACTTCCGCCACCTTTGTCGCTTGTGCGTTGACGGCTCGCGTGCATTCCTTTGCGTCGCCGTCGACTCGTTCATCTATCCATCAGCTTCCTCAGTGCATCACCGATCTTTATTTGCTTTGTTGGAGGTCCCCCTTCCTTTGTTCCCTCAGCGAATTGGACCGACCTTACGCTTGTTTTACCCATCGTTTGTACGCTGATTGTGTGTTGTTTGAGGGGTTTTTGTTCGCCCTCTTTTATGGAGGATTTGTCTGCTTTCAAAGTTTCAACGTTGGCATTTACGCACACGCACGGACATATATCTAACATTACTTTTTTTTAGGTGCAGTTTCGGGATGACTGTTTTACTCGTCTGGAGCGCGATGATACTGGTCTGGCTGCTTGTGGTCAGCGAGGCAAGATGGAAACACAGTCAATATAGCGAAGCACTGTTGGACGCTGATTTCGTAAACGAGCGTCGTTATTTGGCCCAAGACTAACAAGCTATAGAAACACCATACATCTCACGACCCCATGAACGAGATGGAGTTCATCTCGCTGCCGGAGCCAATCGGCCGTCTGCCGCAATACTACTCCTCGGCTCATGCCCAGGCTTATACCTATACCTCCCCACGAATGGTATTCTTCGCTCGCTTCTCTCTGAACAATCCACCATCGCCGTCTTCTTCTGCGTCGGCTTTTCTCTTTTGACCAACATCCACGGCTGGTGGGCCAGGCCCAAGTAAATCTCTTGTGGCGGGTGATTCTTCCTCGGGCTGGCGGACAGCGTCGCCAAAAATCCCCCGTACTGGCCGGTTTTTAACTTGGTCGGGGAGCATTTTATGCTCGTGAAGCCACTTCGTAGCTTTCGCACACAAGTCAGCATCCCAGTCGGCGGGCGGCTTAATCCCTGGTAGTCCAAATGGACAAAGATGATCCGGGTTCATTCTGTCGAGGGCAAGTCCGGCCGTGTGGTCCTTGTGGGCGAGTTTTCGATGCAGCAGAGAAAGCACAAGCCCACTCAGTCCTGCAAACGGCAGTTGGAACTGGCTGGTACAAGGCTTCTTTCTAGGCAGAAGAGGATGGCCAGCGACGTAGTACTCCTCCGTGGGAAGGAGAATGAAGTTGACGGCCGTGAATGTGTTCCACGTGGATCGTAGCTTGGTATGAAGTCTCGTGCCCTCGTACATGGTGTCGTAGTTTTCGTCGTCTTGTTTTTTGAAAAGGTCATCCTTGCAGAGAAGCTCCACTGCCTTGCCGATGTTTTCGTTAGGAATACCGATTTCGAACGTGTTCTGCGTGGATACTTTTAGAGTTGGTCATTCTTGGGCTTGGGGAGCAACGTACTACCAAGTCCCAGGGGATGGGGGATGACGGCGGCGCACCGTCCTTCTCGCGAATCCTGTGTTGTTGAATAGCCGCTGATCCAAGGATGATGTATTGGATCTTGTTTTTATGCAATATTCTCTCGGCAACCAGCATGGGTTCCCAATGCCACTCGTCGGACAGGTCCTTGTATGCCATGATGGGTAGGACGGGATTGGTTGAGCTTGGCTTGTGCGGTTGTGGTATGAGTAAATGGAGAGACTGAGGAATGCGTAGAAGGAAGGGGCAAGGGGCTGCGGCGGGCGATATTTATATTTCGCCTGGCCGAGCGACTTGTATTAAAGAACCGGTCCTTTTGTGAACAATGAATGGTTGGGTACCAAGGAGAGGGACCGTTTATGAATAGCGGTTTTCTTTGTACAAGCAGATGACCACTTGCATGAATGAATGTGTCTTGTCAAAGGCGTTTCATTGCTTGATGGATGATTTAGCCTTGTGAATGGAATACAAGGGGAACAATCATAGGCACTTGCTACCATTAGAGCGCGTTCTTAGTGTGAACACTTTCTTTGCGCAAGTCACAGCGATGTCTGTCAATGAAGAAATGGCGGGTCAGGAGCATGCCATTGTTCAACATAAAGTCTGCGGGTTGTGAGTCTGCGTCCACGAAGACGGCGGCTGAGGCTATCGCGAGATAGCTTTAGCCAGCGGGCTGCAATGCAGCACTAACTACATATATACTTGAGTAAGGACTGGGCCGCAGCGGGCCAATTTATATGTTTTGCTTGGCTTGGCCGAGTCACAAGTGAGCGTTATCAAAAGAACCGGACTCGACTCTTTGTTATCGAGACGGACAATAAAATGGCCGTGCTCTACGGCCGCGGATCCCTTGTGAACAGAATATTTCTTCTTCTTTTACGAGCAGGTGATTCCTTTCACGGAACCAGGGCTTCTTTTTTCAACGATACAAGACGGCGATGCCAAAGATCAAATTGTCCCAAGGGTAGGCAAAGCGGGCAGACCACTCACTGGCCTTTACAAGATTCAATGTTATCCCCTGCCAGGGGCCGCCTGCGTCGAGCTCTGAACATTGAAGCTGCGTCTTCCTTCGCCGCTTTTACCACTTGATCTCTTTGTGTCTGCATCTGGGGGAGTGTTGGACGGAGATGGCCCAACAGGGGCTTCACCGACAAAGGACTTGTTGGTCACGCAGATTGAACACGTGCCAGGGCAAGAGCCCTAGGCACAGTCGTTCCTCATTTCCTCTTGGAAAACCAAGGACCTTTGACGCCCTTCAAAGTTATCACTGAATCTAAGCATTTACTTCAGGCCATCGATTGAACCCGCCCGGATCTGTTTGTTCAAATTTACAGTGAAAAATTGCCCGCGAGGGCTGAACTAGATGAAAATGTCGGGTGGAATTCATGGGATGACCAAGGAACTCTTAAAGAAGTGGAGGAGATCTTGACAGGTTTAAATAAGGAGATATGCGACGCTGTGGGAAAACTAGAGTCGAAGAACTAGTCACCGTGGATAATAACACTGGCCACTATTCGCGGAGGGCTCCTAGACACGATGATTGTGAAACGATTCGAAAATATTTAATAGTACTGCTCTGAAGTTTAGTGTGACAAGGGCTAAAGGCTTGGAGTATTAACTCAATTCATTTAACAATAGTTTTCCGTATCATAGGTCCTTGATGTTCATTAAGGTCTGGTTGACTGAAAAGGTCTTTAAATACAAGGAGTTGATGAGGGTCTTTTGCCCTAGGTCCTGTGATTATGGCCCTGTGTAACCCCGTGTGACATTTGGCGATGCTCAAGGGAACTTAAACTAGTTGCCGTCCTTCTTCTGCCTCTTTGCAGACGTTCTCAAGGTAACCATCTTTCTTTTCTGACCGTTTCCACCACTATCGACAGTGGCATAGTCGTGATTATTCTCGTTATTCGGCGCCACAAAAATTGTCTCGTCCGCTGTGATCGTCTTCCCAATGATGGCCATGGCCAGATTGTATTCCTTTCGATTCCAAACCTTTTCATATCTTTTCAGCCACTGTTCACTAACCTCGCCCGTGTCAAACAGCCGCTTCGCTGCCAGCACAGCGAGCTGATCGTGATAGTAGATTCTTCGGTTTATAAATTTCCAGAAAAGATCATGGGGATCCGCCCACGGGATCCAGGCCACGTCTTTTTCGGAAAGGCCCAAGAGCTGTGTCCCTTTATGCTTCGAGCTAGGGACAGTAGGAGAAGACAACGTTGCGCCAAAGAAGGTGACGCGAGGCAATATTATAATGTTTCGTGGTTGTGACGCGCTCCAAACTGTCTGCAGGCGGCTGTGCGCAGTTGTTCCTTCGTAGCAGGACTGAGTGATGACATGGTCTGGGACGTCTTGAAACAGCTTGCTGGATTTGAGGACGTCTACGGCCTTAGACTCTTCTAAAACGCAAACGCAAATTTCGATGGACTAGAGTTTCCGTAAGTGTAAGGAGTTTTTCTTCCTCTATCATGGCATTGGTACAACACCGTTGGAAATAGAGGTGTCGCGCTGAGCAACTGTGTGCCCGGTAGACTTACGAATTCTGGGTTGAAAGTCGACGTAGCTCCGTAGCGCATGAGTGCTACCTCGCCAATGACGGCGTGCCCGATGGAGTTTGACGTGAGCATGCTGGAGGCGACTTGGAGAGGACTCCAGTCGATGTTCGTGACGGTGGCAGCCATGATGGACTCAACTTGGAAACCGCCAGAATCAAAGAGTAATTATTAATGAGAGAAGATGTTAAGAAGAGGAACGCGCTCGAATTAGAAAGCAATTTTGCCTTCTTATATTCCGTTGACAGGAGAAAAGTGTCTCTAGAAGATAAAAAGGGGAGACGAAAGAAGGGTAAAATTAAGTAGTAAGCTGGGTGGTTGGCTTGTTGAGTGATGAGGATGTGAGTTGAAAGTGAGCGAGGCGACGGGATAACCAAGCAAACAAAAAAGAGAAGACAAACAAAAGTAAAACCAAGTAAGCTAGGTAGTTGGCTTGTTAAGTGATAAGAGTGTGAGTTAAAAGTGATAAGGGTGTGAGTTAAAAGTGATAAGAGTGTGAGTTAAAAGTGATAAGGGTGTGAGTTAAAAGCGAGGAAGGCGATAGGAGTAGCAAACAAAGCCAGATCATGATATATTGGAGGACCTAGAAGATATGTTATTGAGTGCAGATCAGCTACTATCATGTTATCTACAGCCTCCACATATTAACATGTATTTAATTTCAAGATCGGTTAGCAGTAACCACGTAAGAGTATAAATGCTCATATATACTACTATATTTACGGGTGTACTCTATAAAGGCCCGGGTGAACAAGTATAATTACGAACATAGTTTACCTTTACGCGCCAGCAATACAAGTAGAGGCAAAAAATCAGGGTAAAAGCGCAGCGCAAGCGCCAAGCAACAAAGCTGGAAATGTATCTAACAAATTTCCCGTAGCTAAAGGCGTAAGGTTAATGCTCACGACTAATCCATGGCAGCTAGCCGGCCTAGTAAACGGAGCCCAGGGCACTGTGTACAATCATGTATCGGCTGGAACGCAGGTGCTGACCTATATAAAGATCCCCCAGCGGTTATTATGGTAGATTCAGTGCTTCGACAGCTACGACGGACCGGCGTATCTAACAACTACCGAAGGCAGGAAAATCTGCCCAATACTCCCAGCCACCTGTGACCTCCTAGTGGGCAACGAGACCTGCGCTCGCACGCAGTTTGGTGTTTGAAGTATTTAATAATTAATAGGTCGTTTATCGGTAAAGCCCTGTTATTAGGCTCCGCGATCTGTTCGGCTTTTCCCATCTAACACGAGGTAAGATAAGACCATGAGAGCCCGGTTGTATTTTCTGATAAACCTCTGTCAATAGTTTCACTATATTATGCTCATCATTTCTCAATCGTTCCCCGCCATTTTCCTCCAAGGCAACTCCTCAACAATGGCTACTTTCCCGAATCAGCTGTGGTGGGGGATACAAGACGACGAGTTGGCATTCACTGCAGTCACAGAGCCGTAGAATACCAACCACAATTCACAGGATCCAAGTCGACATGAGTGCAGTGGCAGCTATTGTATGGCACCATATGCGTGCAAAATCAGTGTAGCCTTGTGACCGTTGCAGACAGTTGACATGGTTAAAGAGTCCGCCAGGCAAAGGATGTGACAAGGGCTCAGAAAGAGGGCTTGGAGCAATAGCTCAATTCAACTAATAACAGTCTTTGGTATCAAAGGTCCTTGGTTTTCCTTAAGGCCTTGAGGGACCGAAGACGTCTATTTATATAAGAAGTCGGTGAGGACCTTCTGCCCTAGGTCCCGTGACCGTAGCCCTTGTGTAACCTGCGATTTCCGTGTAACAAAGGAGGTGTAGTGGAAGAAAAGCGATACTACAATATGCCATATTCTTTGCGGCTGTCACACGGTTACAGAAGAGCTACAATCACGGGGAACCTAGGACAAAGTCCTTCACCGACTTGTTATATTTCAATAGGCCTTTAGTCCCCTGAGGCCTTAAGGAAACCAAGGACCTTACTACCAAAGACTGTTGTTAGATGAATTGCGCATGTCATGTTACTCCAAGCTTTTAGGCCTTGTCACAGCGGCAGCCAAATCCATAAGAAGCCGTTGATTTCATCGCCCTAGCCGGGTGCGGCGGTTGAAGTCCCAAGTTATAAAATAATCTCGAGCGTTGTTTCCTACCCAAGCAAGCGACAAGACAAGAGGTTCAACCAAGTAACCCCGTAAAATAATGCGACAGCAGACCTCGACATTTTGTTACGCGCGACTATTCACCGCCAGTCTCAGGCCATGTAATTGATTCCCTCGGTGACAAAACCTCATGATGTCCCCAGGTGAGGGTTTGTCAAGGTCGGCATCTGATACCGGTAGGCGTTGTAACAAGAGCTTAGGCTTGGAGCAATAACTCAATTCATTTAACAACAGTCTTTGGTATCAAAGGTGCTTGGTTTTCCTTAGGGCCTTGTTGGCTTAGGGGGTGTTAAGGTACTAGTTGGTGAAGAGTGTTTTGCCGTAGGTCTCTTCGGGGTCGGTCGCAAAAGCCAGGGGTAGGAGTTGAATAGAACGTATCGCTGGCACCCTCCATTGTCCTTTTGAAATCCCCAAGGACAGCAAAAATATTTGCTAGACTCCCCAAGTTCGGGAAAGCTAATCTCGTCAT